CCCTTCGCCGTCTTGTCATCTTACAGGCTGGTGTGCTTCTTCCATGTGGGCTTTGTTGTTTCTCAGTTAGATGGCCCCTTGTTTATCTTCTAGCATGTGGGACCCCAGATTCTATGTAATTTGACAGCTTGGCACCATCTGCTTTCTTCACCACTTTTGCTAAGGCACCCTCTTTGTCCTCAGCGATCAAGTAGGGACAGGCTGGTGTGCTTCTTCTGTGTAGGTTTTGTTGTCTCTCAGCTAGATGGCTGCTTGTTTATCTTCAAGTCTTTAAGGCTTCAGGTGCTATATCTTTTGGTAACTGGGCACCATCAGCTTTCTTCACCACACTTGCTTGTGTATCCAAATCCAGTCTTATCCTGAGAAAACCATTGGACAAGTTCCAGTCCAGCTGCATCCTACCAACTACCTGACCGGTTCTCCTCACAGTGGTCACGAGCACAAGGCTGTCTGAGAAAACCCCACAAGAGGGGCTTACAGAGACATGGCGACTTAGTGCCATGTGGGATCCTGAGTAGGATCCCGATACAGAAAAAAGACATTTGGTGAAAGCGAAAGTTTTCTGTAAATCTAAAACTTTTGAAAAATAAAGTCTGTTAAAAATATATAGAAAGCGGAGGGGATTGGGGTACAAATGAGCTGCTATGAAGGGCTCAGGTAGAAAAAAATGTTTTGAAAACGATGATGGCAACATATGTACAAAGGTGCTTGACACGATGGATAGGTGGATGGATAGTGATAAGAGCTGTAAGAGTCCCCAACAAAATGATTAAACCCACCCCCACCCCCACACACACATAGATAACCCAGTAGTGAAAGGTAAGTATGGCTGAGACAAACTTGGCCATGATAACTGAAGCTGGCTGACGGGGGGCTGGGCCTGACTGGGTGAGCAGATGGCAGAGGGGTGGGTGGGGGGTGGGGTGGAGGCAGAGAGATTTCCTACCAAATAGAAATGGGGCTCTGTGTGCTCTGGGAAGTGCTGCCCTTCCTAGCCCTCCCTGATGTCGTCCTGCTTCTGGCAACCTGCTTTCTAACCCAGGCCCTTCCAGTGGCTTCTGTATGGTCCACTGTCTGGACTGTGTGTCTCCACACACCTGCCACCCTGGACTGTGTCTGCAGAGGCAGGAAGGCCCTCTGGGACCCCACACCCTAGCCTGGCCTTCAATTAGTCAGAGCTAATCGAAGTTATTAGTTTTGGTCAGTCACACTCTGCTTCCTGCAGCTTGGAGCCAGCTCCCCTCTCCCCTCCTTTCATCTCGTTCCTCCCCCACCACCAACAAAACAAGAACTCCCCTTTCTTTGGCATGTGATGCCCGGAGATATTTGAAGAATGCTGTCTTCTCTTTCATTCAGCACTTAGGGAACCAGGCAAAAGGCCAATATCCCATTACTTCTTTCCCTATTCAGGCAAAACATCCTGTGGGCTTTCAGTCACTCTCACGTGATGTAGTTTGCAGCTTTCTCCCGGTCTACCTCGTTCCAGTTACAGAACTGAACCCCGATGCCCAGGGACAGGCACATGACCCCTTCATGGAAGTCTCCTGTCTTGCAAGATGGAGGAACTGGGGAGGCTGAGGTGTGTTGGACAGAGTCCTGGGCAGGGACCGAGCTGCTCAGTTTGGTAGATGGTGGGAGGAGTGCGAGACAGTGTACGATGGAGCAGGACAGACAGGCAGGGTCTGGGACGCCAGCACTGGAGTTTGGACATGCTTCTGTAGGGTTTGGGAAACCCTAGAATGATGCCTTGGCTATGTCATTGACCGCACAGGGTCTACCATGTAGAAGCCTCAACAAGTATTGACAATTACGCCTTTGGAGAAAATGTCAGTGGCTGTCTCCATGGCATGTCTTCACTAATGGTTTCAAGGGGCTGGCTTCATTTGTGGGGGGAAATGCACAGTCACACCTGTGACCAGCAGGTAGAGCACGTTTTCCTCGCCTTTAGGAGCTAGTAAGTGGAGCTGGATCAGTGATAGAGCCAGGAAAAGTTGGGACTGAAAGTAAACAGACCCACATTTTGAGCAGGAGGTAAAGAGGAGGCAGCTTTGTCCAGGGAGTAGACAGGCTAAGGGCTTCAGGGATGGTCAAGACGAGAGACAGGTGTCCAAGCCAGAGCCATGAGGAGGTGGGCTGTCTTAATTCCACTTTGCTTCTGATTGGCTAGCTGAGTCGGCTTGAGGCCATCACACCACCACTCTGAATCTGTGTCACCAGAGAATGAGGAAATCCACTTGGATCAGCTGTCAATGTCGATTCTCATTCATCAAGCCTTCATCATCATCTACGCTTCCAGCACGGCCCGAGGTCCCAGTGTGGGCCAGAAAACTTAAATCCTTCCTGCCCTCGTTGAACTGACAATCTGGTCAGGGGGTGGATGATAAACACATAAACAGAAAATTATGCATCGCCACTAGAAATCATATAGAGAGCAGGGTTGGGTGTCAGCTTCCTTAGAAGGCTGCTCAGATGAGGTGACATTGAACCTAAGACCTGAGTGATGAAAAGAGCAACGATCTGGGGGAATAGTTCTCCAGACTCTGAACCACCGGTTCCAAGCCAGAGGCACGTGTGCCCTAGAAGATGAGTAGCTGAACCAAAGTGAAGAAGGTGCAGCGGGGACCACAGGTGGACATCGGAGGTTTGGGACCATGAGCCTCCTCTTTCCTCCTTGCCCGAGTTTCAATAACTGAGAGGTTGGAACTCTGGATTGGTGGTCCAGCAACAAGGGGGTCTCAGCCTGGCTCTGCTCCATCTCTGGGTGCTTCTTGAAAGAGCCTGGCCTCTGGCATGCTTGTGGATCTCCACGCCCTTCATCGTTTTAACAAGTAGGAATCCAGGCCAAGGACTGAAGGAGCAGCCTGAATTGTGGAGAAGGGAGCCAGGGGCTGCCGAAGTTTGTGAGGGATGGAGAGAGAACTGAGGCTCAGTAGAGACACCTGTTTGTGAGCAAAGACCTGCAGAAAAGAATGGGGACTGGAAGCAGACTTGGACAAGAGATGGTGTAAAGAGAAGGAGAAATCCTTGGGTGATTTCTTGGGCAAACAGGTATCAAGCTTCGCTACAAACTGAAAAGTTGGAGGTTCAAGTCTGCCTGAAGGCCCCTGGGAAGAAAGATCTGGTCATTTCTGCCTGAAAAGTCAGCCATTGAGCACCTTGCCGGGCACAGTTCTACTCGACACACACGGGGCTGCCACATAAGAACTGACTGATTTGGGCAGAAGAGGGTGAGCTGGCGCGATTGTGTTATAGGTCCCAAAGGAAGAGACAGTGGGCTGACAGCAAAATTGAGATTGGACATTGGGCAAAGCCTATTTTGAGTTTGTGTTTCCCCAAAATATATGTTGAAGTCCTAACCCCTGAGATTTATAAATATGATCTTCTTTGGAAATGGGGTCTTTGCAGATGTCATGAGTCCACATGACGTCTGACTGGAGTAGGGTGGGCCCTAATCCACTATGACGTATGTCCTTAAAAAAAGAGGAGAAGACAATAGAAAGTAAATGTTTAGAAGAGAATTAGGGCAACATATGTACACACATGTCTGATTCAACTGATGTATGGATTGTGATAAGAGTTGTATGAGCCCCCAATAAAATGATTAAAAAAACAAAACACAAGAAAAACAACAGGAGAAGCAGCACAGAGATATACACACCCCAAAGGAAGACAGCCACATGGCAACAGTGGCAGAGACGGGGACTATGGCTGCCACCAACCAAGGAATTCTACACGAGAGCTGCCGAAGCTGGATCCTCCCCTAGAATCTTTGCAGGGAGCATGGCCTTGTCAACACCTGTTTCTGGGCTTCTCGTGTCCAGAACTGAGAGAGACATTCCTGCTGTTTTGGAGTGCTGGATTGTAGCAGCCCTAGGAAATGGAAACAGGTGTGAAATGCTGTTTTCTGGAGAGTGCTTGTGTAAGGTAGGCTGTGGGTAAAATGCCTTAGAAAGTCTTCTAATTCAGGAAGTCAGACAGCTGTGATGTCAGTTACCAAAAGCAGCCCTGGCCATCTCTATATGAGCCACCGCCACCTTCTTTTTAAAAAAATATTTAAAAATCATTTTACTGGGGGCTCTCACAGCTCTGATAACATTCCACACATCAGTTGCACCAAGCATATTTGTACATAGGTTGCCATCATCATTTCCAAAACATTTTCTACTTGAGCCCTTGGTATCAGCTCCTCGGAGCCTCCGTAAGTGACCCCAGAAGGATTTCTTTCCTGTTTAGAACTTCATTATTTCCATCTTGAAAGCCTGGCGATTGAACAGGATGGTCTCTGCGATCTAACTTTCTGTAACTTCCTTTCTCTAGGGCCTTCACCTTATCTCCCTCCCCAGTATCACTCGGGACACTCGGACCCTGATCCTGGTGAGTCTGGGCGCTGAGGTGATACGGGTGAAGACAGACAGATTTGAAGAACTGATCGACAATGAGACCAGAGAAAAATTGGCTAAGTACTATATGGAATACCCCAGGTGAGTACTGAAAAGGAGCATACATCCCAGTCTATCAAAATGACAGATTTCCCCCCCTGATATTTAGTAAAAGTAGGAAACAAGTGATAAAAAAAGAAAAAAACAAAACAAATGATCATACCTAGTGCTGATAAGAGTGAGATGAAACTCGTAGCTGTTGGTACACTTTAAATGGACTATGTCCTTTCTATTTTTTCCTCCCTAAAACCTCTTGATAGTTTTAGGACAAGGTTTCAAGTGCTTTAAAACTGTTCGTGTCCTTTGAGGCAATGATCTATTTTCTGGGAATTTATATAACCAAAATATGGGGAAATCTATTAAGATGTTTACAGCAACCATATCCATCATCACTCACTCACTCATTCACACCAACTGCCATCGAGTCCAAGCTGACTCAAAGGGACTCTACAGGACAGGGTCGAACTGTCCCTGGAGGGGGTCGGAAACTGTGACTCTTCACAGGAGTAGAAAGCCTGGTCTTTCTCCGGAGGAATGGCTGGTAGTTTTGAACTGCTGATCTTGCAGCTCACAGCCCAATGTGTGACCATTATGTCACCAGGGCTCCCTTCTTGGTCTACAGTTAGCAGCCCAGGGTGGAACCCACCCTGCCAAGAGGGTTCCTCGAGTATTAGAAAACATACAAAAATAGACTGCGAGGCAGAGAGGAATCTAAATGAAGCCCTATTTGTTCTCCCGCACACTCAATGGGCACTACTGTACACTTCCTCACCTTGGGACCTGCAGCTTCGACTGCTGGAACAGCCTCACCACTGATCCCCCTGCCCCCGTCTCCTCTTGGATGGCTCTTTTTGGCACACTGTAATTTTGCCAGATCCCAAATCTGACGACGTTAATCTCCTGCTGACAGCCTTTCACTGGTTTCTTGTGGTTTAAGGGTTAAAGTCTAAGCTCGTTGCCCCCCACAGACCGCCCCTGCAACACCTCTTGCTACCTCTCACCCACTGGAGCACCCTGTGCAGATCCCCTCCTGGACCCTGCCCAGACTTTGTGTCTCTGTCAAGGTTGGCCCTTCTGCCTGGAAAGTCATCCCCTAATCGTGTCCCTTTTCTTCCGGTTCGCTCCTCCTCATTCTTTTAAAAAACTTGGGATTGTGGCCTGAGTGAAAGTTTCCAGAGCAGACTCATTTTCCAGGAACCAGTTCACATGTTTTGTTTCGTGACCTTGATGGCAATGCCCACGGTAGATCCGTCTCTCCCAGAAAGCCCTTCCCTGTCCGACTCGGACTGGGACGAGTACTCTAGACAGCCCTCTCGTTGATCATTTGTGCTTGTTGGTTGCCGTCAAGTGTCCTCCAACCCACAGCCCTTGGCGTGCAATAGATCGGTGTCCTGTCCCACCTCATCTTCACGATGACCGGTATGTCTGAGCGCATGGCTATGACGACCGTGCTCACGTATCTCCTTGAGAGTTGCCGCGTTTGCGCTGACTCTCCTGAACCAAACCTGATGCCCCTTTCTACGGACCAGTCTTTCCTGATGGCATCGTAGGTTGCACACTGGACTGCTAACCACAGGGCAGCAGCTGGCCACCACCAGCTGTTTTCCCCGGAAGAAGATGTGGCTTTCTGCTCCCAGACAGACTCATAGCCCTGGAAACCCACAGGGACCGTCTCCTCTGCCCACAGGGTTGCCGTGAGTCAGAAGTGATGTGATGGTAGTGAGCTTGGGTCTTCTTGTGTCCAAGGTTTAAGTGAGCCAAAGACTGGTCATTCTTCCTCTTAAGATTTGGTTGCTTCCCATGTTGTTTCATAGTTAATCTGTTTCTGCTGCTCTTTGGCCGCACGCTATTAATAGCTTCTTGAAGGCAGGCATTGTGCTTTCTCTGCCTTTCCTCGCCGGGACTTTGTACGTCTCCTGGAAGTTGCTCCATAAATACCGAATGAATGGATGAATGATGGGCATACTCATCACAGAAAACTGGAAAACGCAGAACAGCGAAAGAGGCCAAAACCAAAATCATCTGCAATCCTCCAACCATCTCAGTCAGCGTTTTATTTCCTTTCAGTATTTTTTTTTCTGTGTATGGGTGGATATAGCTTTCATAATGGAGATCATACTAATTATATAGCTTGGATCCTCCCCTTCTCCTTTCCTTCTGTGCCCCTGTTTTTCTTTCTTTCTGGTGAGGTAGGCTTCAGACATGGTGCTGCCAGTGGGGCTGGGAAACAGTGAGCCCAGTGGCCGAGAATGAGGAAGTGTCAAGACAAGCAGATGGACAAGCGATTGCAGCTAGGCCCAACATGCACCTACAGTCATGTGATATGAGATCTGTGTGAGTTTGGCCAGGTCATTTCTCCTCTCTGGGCTTCCGAACTCAATATGTGGCACAAAGAGATCAGGCTAAATCAGTGTTTTACAAAGTCTAGAATATATTCCACAGAAAGTTTAAACGATTATTTTAGGTGGTGTGCAATTCACACCTTTAGTTTCAACAGCTCTTTATCTTGGTGTGCATTAGAAAAGCAACATGACTAACTTAGCAAAGCCATGGTTGGACAGACCCTGTTGATTGGTACAAAGCTAAAGTCAGTATTTATATAAAAGAAACTGAACAGATTCAAAGAAAAATCATCAGTAGATTACAGAGGAAATGGTATGTGGATATGGACAAAATTGAGACCGTTTGGAAAGAAAAATTGAGAAAATCAGGGGTTCCTTCCAGGTCAAAGATGCTCCAGTTCTCGGAGTCCCTGACCCCCAAGTGCTACCCATACGGAAAATGACTACTTACACCCACCGACCAACAAAAGACATGAAGGTGACTTATTCCTTGCATCTGCCTGGCACATGGTGGGGCTCAGTTAACACGGGCTGATTTGGGATTCTGAAAAGGTTTACATAGATTTGAGGGTGGCAGATGTTTGGGCACTTGGCATCTTTGCTGCCCAGTCAGCACTTTGCTGCAATCATATATAATGCTAACAGATGGAGTTCCGTCATATTCATTAATTGTTGAACTCGTGGTTTTCCTAGACTGCTAAGGCAAGCAGAAAACACATCCATCATCTATTTAACTCAAATCCCTCACATTTTAGATGTGAACGCTGAAGTCCAGCAAAGGAGAGGTGACATACTCAAAATCACACAGTCACCCGTCCTGTGAATGTCACAGGCTGGGTAGCCTAAACATTCAGCCCTCTACACGGCACAGGTAATACACCCCATGTGAAATCTCATGGACAGCGGAGCTCCTCAGAAGTGGAGGGAGCTCTCTAAGGACCCAACATGAAGAGGATCCTAAAAACAAGAGCACAAAATGTGACCCGAAAGGGGTATTGCTACTAATAGTTACCTGTTTCTGCTGCTCTTTGGCCGCACGCAATTAATAGCTTCTTGAAGGCAGGGATTGTGCTTTCTCTGCCTTTCATCGCCAGGACCTTGTATGTCACCCGGTAGTTGCTCCATAAATGTCGAATGGATGGATGGAAGGACCAGGGTTTAATGGGCATCATGGACTGGAGTTTTAAAGCCTGCAGGGACAGATGAAATTTTCAGGTGAGGAATGGTGCTGGAACTGAGACCCCTGCATGAAGTTGGTGAAAAAGGAGACTCTCAGTCAATCTGACTATCAGCATCAGAAAACGACGTGGCATCCTGTCCATCTTAACTTGGATTTTTATTCAGAAAAAGAAAGGACTCCCTAAGAATGTGTAATCACAGGGCTTTGCCCCCTCGAAGGCCTGGGCGAGCTCCTTAGCCTTTTGGAACCTCAGCTTCCATCTTGTAAAATGGGGTGGTTTTAAAGATTAAATGAGTTAACAAACGTCAGGTGCTTGGCACATGGTAAGTGCAAAGTCAGAGTCAGATATTATTTATCATGTAAGACATTAGGGATCACGGAACTCTCTAAGTGGATGCTATCCAGTGATGGAGCACTGGGGCTACATATTGGACTGCTATTCTCAAGGGCAGCTGCCCCACGGGAGAAGGAAGAGGCTTTCTGCTCCCACAAAGACTCAGTCTCGGCACTCCACACAGGCAGTTTTCCCTGTCCTGCAGGGCTGCTCCAAGTCAGAACTGACTCGATGATAGTGAGCTTGGTTATCCAGCAGTGTGCTGGTCCACGTTTCCCAGGAGGTGGTAGGTAAGCCTCATTTGTAGTATTTGCTGATTTTTTGTGGTGTAAATACTCCCATTATGGCCAGTTTCAAGTTACCAACGTGATGCCATCGAACATGGAGTTGAGAAGAGATAACATGCAAATAATCAGCTCTCATGCATTGGTAATAAGTGGCTTCAGCGTGCCACCGAGACTCAGAAGACTATTTGTGGTCCATTCTGCCCTCTGGATTCTTTTCTAAATTGATCTCTGTGGCTTAAAGTTGACTTTGTCCTGGTCAATACAACTTCGCCTGAAGAATGCTCTGATGTGCTAGTAATTTATTAGACTTTCCTCCTCCTCCGATGCGTGAGTATGGCGCCCCCTTCCTTTACCGCAGTCTCAGAAGGGAATAAGCCAATGTGTGCTAAGCCTGTTTCACTCCCTTTTCACCATCCTCACCTGCGACTAGGGAAGGGATTGAGGTGGAGCTAGAGTACCATCCTTGTGGCTGCTGTACCACTCCAGCTCACCAAGGCTTTTCTATGTCCCGTTGACTCTCTACTTCACTAACCATGAGGCCTTCCTCTAGAAATTGACTCATTCTGATGATGGGTTCAAGGCAAGTCAATGGGATAATGTGCTGTTGTGACCCGTAAGTTTTCATTAGTTAATTTCCAAAAGTGGATCGCCAGGTCTTCCTTCTTTGTCTTTCTGGAAGCTCTGCCAAAACTTGTTTGCTATGGGTGACCCTGCTGGCATGTAAAATCCCAGTGGCATAGCTTCCAGCTTCACAGCAGCAGAAAAGCCACCCTGACTGGACGCCCTACAGAGAGATGTAAGACCATGTATTGTGTACAAATCCTGAAGGCCTCGTAACGAGGAGATAGCCCTGTGAGAGCCTAGAAAAGGATTCCCAGAAACCTAATATATAAGCTGGCTCATAAAGGATGACTGGAATTTGTCTGATCAGGATTCCCAAACAATGTACAGGTGTCCTAAACTAACATGCCTTGTTATTCACACTGTCTGAGGTACCTGGCAGGTGCTAGTGTAAGCCTTTGTTGAATGAGATATAAATGGACCATCGGGACACTTACTAAAAAGAAATTCCATGGTCTTATGCCCAGATTCTGACTCAGTAAGTCTAGGAGGAATCCTGCTCTCTCTGTCTTTCACCCGGATTCAGGTGGGTCTAGAACATGTATCATCTGTAATGCGTATCACCTGGGACTATTGCTCAAATGCAGATTCAGATCCAGCATGTTTCTGCATGGTTGACAAGCTCCTGGGCTCTAGGTAGGGTGACTTTGTCCATTGGAACTATAACACAAGCCACATATGTACTTTTTAGCAATGGTTTTGTTGAGAGATATAGTCCACCTATTTAAAGTGTACAATTAAATGGTTTCTAGTATGTTTGAGTCATGCAGCCATCACTACAATCAATTTTAGAACATTTTCATCATCCCCCAAAAGAAACCTGCTGCACACGAGCTTTTTAGTGTATTGAAACGCCAGGGTCTTACTTCAAAACCTAAGGCGCGCCTGACCCAAGCCATGGTATTTTCCATGGCCTCATATGCACTTGAAAGTTGGATATTGAATAAGGAAGACCGAAGAAGAATCGATGATCTGAATTGTGGTGCTAAAGAAGAATATTGAAAGTACCATGAACTGCTAAAAGGACAAACCAATCCATCCTGGAAGAAATGTGGCCAGAGTGGTCCTTAGAGGCAAGGATGGCAAGTCTTACATACTTTGGACATAGTGTCAGGAGACCAGTTCCTGGATGTGTTAGGGTTCTCTAGAGAGACAAAACCAGATTGCTAATAATTATATACATATATCTATACAGATCGATAGATATATAACACAAGAAATAAACAGTTAAATTACAAAGCAGTACAAATGGCTGAGTGCAACTCACTCCCATGAGACAGTTGTGAGACACTGGCAGTCCTTCAAGTCTTGAGGGCTGCCAGGTAGTCCTCTGTAGAGCAATTCAGGCTATCTGGGCACAAGCAGCAAACAGCAAGACAGGTCACCAACAGTCAGCCAGATGACAGGGTCTAACAGTCCCCAGCTCAAGAGATGTAAATTCCAATTGTGTGGCAAAGCAGGTCATGAAGGAACCTCAAATGACAGTGACACAGTCCACGGTTTAGGTGCCCCACAGGTAGTGTAGCTTGCAAATTGTGGCACAGAACAGGCAAGACAGCCCCACACCGGTCCAATGATCCTTTTATCTCTCCGCCCTTCAATTAATGCCACATGTGTTTACTGGCCAGGTTGACACAATAAACTAACGACCTCACTGGAGAAGGGCATCATATTTGGTAAAGTGGAGGGGTGGCGAGAAAGAGGAAGGCCCTCAACAAGATGGATTGTCACGGTGACCACAACAATGGGCTCAGGCGGGGGAACAGTGGCGAGGATGGCGTGGGCCCCGGCAGGGTTTCACTCTGTTATGCAGAGGGTCACTCTGGGTCGGAATGGACTCCATGGAACCTAACAACAACAACAACAACAACAACATACCCTTCAGCTAACCCTTTCCCTCCCTCTCATCTCTCCCACCCCTCCAGCCCGCCGCAATCACCAATCTATTTTCTGTCTCTCTGGCTTTTCCTGTTCTTCATGTAAATGGAAGAATACATGTGTGAGCTTTGGAGTCTGGCTTCTTAGATAATATTTTCAGGATGCATACATGTAGCATGCATCAGTACTCCATTTCTCGCTCTCTTTTTTGCCAAAAATATTCCATTATATACCACATTTTATTTATCTATTCATCAGCTGGTGGATATTTGGGTTGTGTCCATTTGGGGGCTATTAAATCATGCTGCTATATGCATTCTTAAACCAGTTTTCATGTGGACATATAGTACTTCAGAGTATATACATATAAATTCATATGTGGGTCATAGGTTCATTCTAAATTTAACCTTAAAGAAATGGCCAGACTGTTTTCTGCAGAGGCTATGCCATGGTACATTACAAACCAGCAACGACGAAAGCGCCGTTGTCTCCTTATCTGCAACAACACGTGCTGTCTTTTTTTTATAGTACACTTCTCAGAAGGACTGTTTTTTTAAAATCATTTTTTGGGGGGCTCTTACAGCTCTTCTCACAATCCATCAATCCCTCCATCCATCCACTGTGTCAAGCATATTTGTACATATGTTGCCATCATCATTCTCAAAACATTTGCTTTCTACTTAAGCCCTTGGTATCAGCTCATTTTTTCTCCTCCCTCTCTCATGAAGCCTTGATAATTTATAAATTATTATTTTTAACATGTACTGCCTGAAAGCTGTAATCATACTGGGTGTAAAGAGGTATCATATTGTGGTTTGGGTTTGCATTCCCTGATGGCTAATGATCAGATATATAATCGTAAAATGTCAGTCTTCACATTTTAAGAAGTGAAAAAGAAACAGGTGAAATTCCTTTTGACTATATTCAACCTGCCTACAAGGTTGCCCTCTTAACATGTAATCAATAGAAACAATTAATGAGAGCATTGTCACACTCTCTCGTTTTTCTTTTTGGTTGTTATTGTTCTGTCTTTGACACTGGGCAGGTAGGGTACACACACAGCCCATCTCAGTTATCTCAGTTATCTCAGGGTGGCTCTAGTTTAGACAGTCAGTAGCCACCGGTGGCTCGCAGCCACTGCATGGGACAGTGCAGATGGAGGGAAAGAGTTGTGGAGGCAGAGAGGAGAGTCTGGGGAAAGGCATGTGGGTAGAAAGAGCACACTGTCTCTAGGGATTAGAAAGAGTGGCAGGTTAGGTTGGTGGAGGCCGGGGCTAAAGGAACTGACAAGGGAACTGAAGCATCTGTGTCTGCCCTTTAGTGATGAAGAACTATGCCAGCATTTCCTCCAGGAGAACAGCTGGAATATCTTTCGGAAAGACCTGGTGCGGCTGCTGGTGGAGCCTCGCCAAAGGTCAATGTTCATCCCCCAACGGTCCAAGAAGACAAAGCCCTCCGACATGAACTCTGTGATCCTGAATTTGTCTGACCTTAACAAGACTAATACAACTAGCTACCCCATTTTTAAGGCACCCTCAAAACACCTCCCCCCACTGAGGATAGTCCAAAGTATCATACCACCTCGGCCCCAAATCCAAGAACTCTTGCCTCAGTATAAGAATGCAGGAGTCCTTATGTAGAACCAATAAAAGACATTGGATATGCCACCATGCTTTCTGAATGATCACCCAGGGAATTGTGGGGCTTGGAGTGGGAGGCCTGGAGGGCTGAGCTGTGGGTCCAGAGAGGTGGTTCTAGAGACCACATCTGAGGCTACTCTCTCTCTTGACACTCATGGGACTTGAGTGAATGGATGGTTAGGAGGCTGTGTGTGGAAGGCTTACTCACTGGGGGTGGTCCCAGGGTAGGAGGTGCACCGATGATATTGAGCATTCTGTGTTTTTGTTGACCATTTATACCACATCTTTAAGGCAATGTGTATTCAAGTCTTACCCCATTTCATTGTTGAGTTGTAAGAGTTCTTTATATAATCTGGATACTAGGCTCTTGTCAGACATATGATTTGCAAATATTTGCTTCCATTCTGTGGATAATCTTTTCACTTTATTTTTTCATGAGCAGTGTCTAGTTTTCTTCTTTAAAAAATCCTTTTATCAGAAGCTCTTACAGACATCATAACATTCCATAGTTGCATCACCACAAGCTGGAACTATGCTATTGCTACCACAATCAGTTTCAAAACATTTTTTCTTCTTGAACTCCTTGATATCAGCTCCTCTTTATCCCATCCCCACCCCCACCCTACCCCCAGGAACGCTTATTTATTTCTTGCCATCTCTTACACATCCAGTATATCCATTCACATACAGTTCTGTTGTTCAATCCCATCGAGTGGGATTATACAGTCATCTATACTATCAACTCCCCAATCCCCCAACCCTGTCTTCCCATATGCCATGGAACCGTTACTCCTGTTTCTGAAGGGTTATCTCTCTTGGCTTTCTTGTATCAAATTATCTTATTTTTAAAATCTGAAATATATAAATGAACCTATGCAAATCTAACATGATTAATGAGGTAAACAAGTCAAAACCACAATAGTAAGGGGAGGAAATATTAAAGAACTAGAGGATAGTTATGTGTTTCATCAGTGCTATACTGCACCCTGGGTTCCTCATGCCTTCCATGTGGCCCTTCTGTGAGGGACTGTTCAATTATCTTACAGGTGGGTTTTGGGTCTCCACTACATCCACACCCCTTCCCACGGACTTGGTTG